ATAAAACTGGGGAGAATTCTAATGAAGATGATGAGAAGTGCAGGAAAGCAGAGAGCACCCATTCAAAAGGCTTAACTGAAAGAGGAGGAAATGAGAGACGGAAAAAGCCAGGGCCGCACATGTGAAAACTAGAGTCAGGGAATATGTGAGGTGTTGGTTAAATCAAGGAATCTAGGATAGGAAAAAATGAGAACGCAGGGAAGAGTATAGACTGGGAAGAAAATGGAGAGTCCAAGGGACAAGAAGTCTTGCTAACATCGAAAAACAGAAGGGAAGAAAACTGGAATAACAGAAGGTCATAGGAGAGTGGGATACTGAGGTGCCCTGTCTCAGAAGTGGGACAGGGGCAAGCGATGGGAAGGGTTAGCCTTCAACCAATGAGAGGGGGTAGAGTACAAAGAGGGCAGAGTGACAGTGAGAGCCCCAAGGACAGACAAGTTAGGAAAAGAAATGACAGGGTGTCGGCTAGGTCGTGCACGTGAACACGCAAGCACTCGGGAGCTGACGACAGAGAGAAGAGGACAGTGACAATCCAGACACCTAAGCCTAATGTCGAGGAGATCCCAGAAAGCTGGAAGGCTTATGGTTTTATGATATAGCTAGATATTACGACCCTCAAACAAGAAGCGATTTTTATAAGATGTGGAGCTAAGAGAATGCCAACCCACTGGGGCAGGGCAGCTTCTACTCGAAAGAGCTGCAAGGTAAAAGTTCCTCAGAGGGGAATAAAAACTAGATCAGTACAAAGAAAGAATGTGAGGACTGTTATAGGACCAAGTTAGGGATATACAGATTTTTTTTTTTAAAGACAACAGAGGGAAACTACTTCAACATAATAAATGCCATATGTGAAAAGCCCACAGCTCACATAATACTCGCCGGTGACAGATTCCAAGCTTTTCCTCTGAGATTAGGAACAAGATAAGAATGCCCACTCTCGCCACTGCCATTCACCACAGTATTGGAAGTCCCACAGCAATTAGGCAAGAAAAGACATAAAAGGCATCCAAATTGGAAAGATGGACTAAAATTATCTGTTTGCAAATGATGATCTCACATGTAGAAAACCCTAAAGATTGCACTGAAAAACAAAAGGTTAGAAAAAACAAATTCAGCAAAGTTGATAAATACAAAATCCCCATGCAAAAATCTGTTGCATTTTTATACACTAACAATGAACATTCTAAAAAGGAAATTAAGAAAATAATACTACTTACGATAGCATCATAAAGAATAAAATATTCAAGACTAACTTAATCAAGAAGGCAAAAGACTTGTACACTAAAAACTACAAACCACTGCTGAAAGAAATTAAAGAGGACACACATAAGTGGAAAGATATCCCAAGTTCATAATTGGAAAACTTAATATTGTTAAAATGTCCATACTACCTAAAGTGATCTACAGATCACTATTGAAATCCCAGTGGCATTTTTTGCAGAAACAGAAAAATATCATCAAATTTATATGAGATCTCATGAGACATCAAATAGTCCAAACAAACTTGAAAAAGAACAAAGTTAGCAGATTTACACTTCCTAATTTTAAAACATATTACAAACCTACAGTAATCAAAACAATATATACTGGCATGAAGACAGATGTATAGAGAAGTGGAACAGAATACAGAGCACAGAAACAAATCTGTGCGCATATGATCAAATGATCTCCAACAAGGATGCCAAAACTACAAAATGGGAGAAAGACTAAAAATGAATTGAAGACCTAAATGTAAGACCTAAAACTATCAAACTTCTAGGAGAAAACATAGGGGGAAAGCTTCATGGCCTTCAAGTTGGCAATGATTTCTTAGATATGACCCAAAAGCAGATGCAACAATAGCAAAAACACACAAATGGGATAACAGCAAACTTTAAAACTCTGTGCATCAAATGATACAATCAACAGAGTCAAAAGGCAAGCTATTAAATGGGAGAAAATATCTGAAAATCATATCTCATAAGGAGTTAGAGAATGCCTATAACTCAACAACATAAAAACAAATAAACTGATTTTTTTAATGGGCAAAGGATTTAGCCATTTCTCTGCAGAAGATAAACAAACAACCAACAAGCATATAAAAAGATATTCAACATCAGTAATCATTAGAGAAAAGCAATTCAAAACCACGAGATGCTATATCTCGCCTGCCCATTAGGATGGCCCCATCAGAAAGACAGAAAATAATTAGTGTTGGTGAGGATGTGGATGGAGTAACTGGAGCCCTTGTGCAGTTGGTGGGAATGTAAAATGGTGTAACTGATATGGAGGTTCCTCAAAAAAATTTAAAAATAGAACTACCATATGATCCAGCAATCCCACTTCTGAGTATATACCTGAGAGAACTGCAAACAAGATCTCAAAGGCAGCTGCATACCCCAGTTCATTGTATCAGCATTATTCACAACAGCCAAGAGGTGGTAGCAACCCAAATATCCATCAACAGATGAATGGATAAAGAAAATGTGGTACATACATATATACATATAACAAATATTATTCGGCCTTAAAAAAGAAGGGAATCCCACCATATGCTACAACAATGAACTGTAAAGACATTACACAAAATGAAATAAGCCAGTCACAAAAGACAAATACCAGGTGATTCCATTTACACAAGGAATCTAGCAGTCAAATGAACAGAGAGGAGCATGGTTTCCCAGAGCCCGGGAGCGGGAAACAGGGAGTTGTTCCGTGGACAGCTTGTTTTGCAGACGAAAGTTCTGGATACCTACTGCATAACAGTGTGAGTACACTTAACACCACTGAACTGTCTACTTAAAAAAATGATTAAGATATTAAATTTTGTTAAAAGAAAAAAGAAAAAAGAAAGAATGAGGCTTTGGATGTGCTGGAGACGTGATGGGACTACACTGACAAGATGTGATTAAGTGCCTCTAATGACATCCTGAACAGGGGACCTGGATGTTTCCTCAAATCTTCACCTAGTAATAGAAACAATAGTAATACTCAGTGGAGAGTGGTTCTCCGATTGAGCTTGGGCTTGCCAAGGCCTAGACTGGGTGCTCGTGCCAAGAGAACCCTAATTCCTACCATGGCAGAAGGAGCTGTTAAAGAGAAAACCCCCAAATGGCTTCCCTTATGCCCATGGTACCTAATCTAGATTTCACACTTGATCTCACTGCAGTTTCAACCTCTCCCAGAAACATAATCATAATAAGCCAGTCTGGAATTTTCTGGTCAACAAGTAATTTGTCACATGGCCCTCTCCCTCCCCCAGATAGCAGAGGCAGGATTAAACCCTTCCCATTCTCTTCCCCTCCCCATCCCAACCCTGCAAAAAATATCCTGGACCAAAAAGAATGCTTTCTTGTGTTATAGCTCCCTCGCTCCATGCTTCTTCTATCAAAACCTTCCATTTCGTACAACCCCTCCGAGCATCCGAGCTGCTAGACGGGGTGCAGCTAGGATTTGTGAATCTCTGATTTGTGAATCTCTGAATAAAGCCAATTAGATCTTCAAATTTACTCAGTTGAATTTTGTTTTTTTAACAGAGCCTTTCCTTGAGGACTCAAGTGTAGTTAGAAAAGGCAAACACCATATGCTTCAGATTCCATTTGTTCAAACCTTTCCTCTACCCTTTTCTTTTTTATATATTACCAATTATGCTTCTCGGGTCTGTGCTTTCCATACTAGCTAATGGAATTCAAGTGCTTAGAGTTGAGAACGCTTAGAGAGGGGGAAATGTTATATTTTCTCTGCAACTGCAAAAATGACACACCGCGCCCTGGCTGGTGTGGCTCAGTTGGTTGGGCGTCATCCCATGCACCAAGAGGTCACCAGTTGGATTCCAGGTCAGGGCACATGCCCGGGTTGTAGGCCTGATCCCCAGTAGAGGGCATGCAGGAGGCGGCCAATCAACGTTTCTCTCTTACATTGATGTTTCTCTCTCTCTCTCTCTCTCTCTCTCCCCCTCCACTCTCTCTAAAATCAATGAAAACACTAAAACATAAAATAAAATAAAACTAGACACTGTGCTGCATCACAAGACGATCCCTGACAGTGGTGAACTGAGGACATTCACAAAAGCATCAGTGTGAATCTCCTTTCTCATGTGGAGACTTCATTACAAAGCCTAACTGCTCTGTCTTCTGTTTGACAAGGCAGTCATTTAAGACACCTGGATTGCAGAGAGACTTGCTATATATTTAAGATAGCCCTTAATCCCCCAAAAGCCTATAAATTGATTGGCTCTCTTAATAACCTGTATAATTTTTATGCAAAAACTCTGTTTATTTAAATCTTATTACCATATTAAATCAGAAGAGGAGCTCAGGCACTTTCTCCTCCCTCTAGGCCGCAAGGTTAATAAAACCAAGGCCTCTGTTGAATTCCTTATTTAAACAAAAGGTTTGAAAGTCTTTGTCTCATTCAAATTAACCCAGGCTAAAGGGATAGATGAGGAAAGTCACGCGGGTTGGAGGAAGCAGATTCAGGAAGTGTCCAGCAACCAGAGTGATGAGAGATCAAGAGGCTATAGTAAGGCCCTGGCTGGTGCAGCCCAGTTGGTCAAGCATCATCCCATGTACTCAAAGGTCACTGGTTCTATTCCTGGTCAGGGTATATACCTAGGTTGCAGGTTCAACCTCCCAGTGGGTATGGGAGGCAACCGATCGATGTTTCTCTCGCTCCCTTTCCCTTCCTCTCTAAAATCAATACCAAAAAAAATATTTTTAAAAATACAGGCTATAGGAAAAAACTGAAGGAGTGTAACCCCAAGGAGACATGAGTTCCCGTCCCTTCCCATCTCGTAACTATAATCCATATCCGCTGTAGCTCAGTGTCAGTGGCTCTGCTTAGTTTCACTTTATAGAACCAGCTACATTAAGGAGCTTTTGCCTTTGTGGTTTCATCACTTAGTTTTTCTTTCTACGCTACAATGTTTTATAGAGATAAGCACAGCTGAACAAGATTTTAACGTCAGGCCCTTTTAGACGGTTTGTTGTGGGAGGTGAAGGGGGGTGCTCTCAGATATTTACCAGTGTTTTCCATACAGCCAATGGCCTCCCCATGTCAGCAGGCAGATTCCAGCTGTAGTTTTCTTCCAATGATTTCGAAGTGTTTTAAAGAACACAGTCATCTTCTAGAGATTTGCTAGGTTATAGAGGCAGAAAAAGAAAAAAATATATACATGATTATCCAAGGTCGGCATGTAGAGTCCTCCTGACACTATCTTCCATTCATTCATCCTCTCCATGTACCCCTTCCCTCCCTCTTTTCCTTCTTCCGGCTTCTCTAGCCTCTCTCCATCTTCTCCCTTCTAGTCTCATAGTCTTCACCTTCTCACCTGCCCGCCTACCTTTTAAAATTTCTGCCTTCACTTCTTTCCACCTAAACGACACTGTTTCCTCCGACGACGACTTTTACCTCATCGTATTAGGAGGCAGGAGGGACAGAAAGCGAAGAAGGAAATCCCAGGCTTCCTGCTTTTCCTTCCTTCTTAAAGTTACTGTAAGAGTATTTGTCAACCACACACACACAAAAAAAGAGTATTTGTCAACCTATTATATGTATATAATAAAGACTCAACATCAACTTAGTAACGTAAAGCGCTTATTCAAAACAGAAAACACTAGACTCTCAAGAGGAGAATAAGCCGAGAACACGCACAGAAAACTCAATGAAGAGGAAATGCACAAGGCTATGTAAAAATGTTCAATATCCCAAGTAATCCAAGACCTACAAGTTACAAAGAACGATCACTGGTCACCCATAAAAATCAACAACTTTTTTAAAAAAATGCTCACATTCACTGACGACAAAAATGAGATACACTCTCACATAGTCCTAGAGGGAAGGTGACTGGGCCAACTTCACTAAAAAACAAAGAGACAACGCACACCCTTATGCTGTTTGTTTTCTTCACGGCACCTATCGTCTGATGATCCTCACTTGCTAATCTATTGGCTCATCCCGCTGGACGTCAAGTCCAAGAGAGTGAGGACTTGACTGTTCAGGTCACTGCTCTGTCCCCAGTGCCTAAATCAGATCTGGCACATAATACCCCTGCAGTGAGTAACGGCTGAATGGGATGGAGTTCAGGACAGGCGACCCCAGAATAGGGCACCTTGGCATATTGAATAGTTTAAGCTGAAGGAGTCTAAGAAAATAGAATTGGGAAGGTCACTCTGACCTCCTCCCCCACCTCCCCTACTAACCTGAAACAGGTCAGAAAACCCTCATGAGAGAGGTGCCCTCCTCCCCCACCTCCCCTACTAACCTGAAACAGGTCAGAAAACCCTCATGAGAGAGGTGCCTTCCATATACCTAGAGGAAAGGAGCATCCTTCTCTCCCAGACGAACGGATGCCAAGAAGAATCCTAACAAGCATCCTGTTGCTTCCCATTCACGGCAGTTCCCTCCTACCCCTTACGCACCATGTTCCTCCACGCCTCGTCAAACCCAGCACCAAGTACTCAGGTCTATTTGTTTGGGTCTTCGATTTCTTTTAAAGGCTCCTATGTCACGTAAAACTTACATTAAACACACGTGCATGCTTCTCTCCTGTTAATCTCTGGCAGGTTAATTTCCAGAGCCAGTCTGGGACCCTAAGAGGGTCAAGCAGAACTTTTTCCTCCCCTACATTCAAGTTTTCTTCACTAAGAATTTTTGCTGAGGTAGGGAACAAAAAAACCCTCAAAGTACAATGTTAAGTAAAATCAGCAGGCTAAAAAGCTATATATAAATGATATTATCCCAATTATGTCCAAACACAGATATAAATGGAAAAAATACCAATAGAAATAAACACACACAAAAATTTAAGTAGTTCCCTCTGGGTTGCGGGATAATGGGCGGCATTTATTTTATTTATTAAATTGCAATGTATTTTTTATATTTCCTAAAGTGAATATCAATCACTTTCTAAACAGATAAATATTTAAACAGAAATGTTTTTATGACTATTTGTGCATGCGGTAAATAAACCAAGCAAAAAAAAAAAAAAAATAGCCCTGGCCGGTTTGGCTCAGTGGTTGGAGTGTCGGCCTGTGGACCAGAGAGTCCCAGGTTCGGTTCCCTCTAGGGGCACGTACCAGAAAAAAAAAAAAAAAAGCTGCTTTCACTGAAGATTCTAGTTCTTTTATTACTGCCTTTAACCACAAAACAAAGGCTCTCTTCTTCACCGAACTTTAATCCGGCTCCTGAGCTCTGTGCTGGACTAGGCCCAACCTTGGGCTTCCCTCTGCCCTAACAGAATCCAATTTGAGCAAGAATCCTGTTAAGTCAGTTTAGCAAAAACACCTCATGGATTATCCAGGTGGGCCCAATGTATCTGACCACCCTGGCCTGACTGGCAAGAATTCTGCTGAGTCACTCTAAGAGTCCTCCTTATCCCTGATAGTCTAAGTAACTGTTCCCTTACTGACTTCCACCTTGGGGGTTCTTGGCTATCAACCCCCATCCGTTCTTGGTGGAGTCCGAGTTCAGTCCAATCTCTCTTCCCTACGCCAGGATGCCCACTGCAGTGGTCTCTACATCCATGGAGACACCTTCCCCCACCCCATGAATAAAGTCTGCCTTACCATTCTTTAACAAGTGTTACTAAATAATTTTTTTCTTTAACACCGCCATTGGTTAAAATTCCTCTGGAGGCAAGAAACATCTTTATCATCAGCAACAATGAGACCAGTGCCAGAAAGCACAGCTTCCCATGAATCAGGGACACAGTCAGGCTGGTCCATAATGAAAGCCAAAGGCACATTTGATAACAGACTGGAGGTGACAGTGGTACATGGCTGTGCATGGTTGGGGAAGTCTTTCCAGAAGGCGTGACAGTTACATTGAGTCTTGAAGAATGAGGAGGAGTGCCCGGCTGGTGTGGCTCAGTGGCTGAGCATCGACCCATGCACCAAGAGGTCACAATTTCGATTCCAGGTCAGGGCACATGTCCAGGATGTGGGCCCAATCCCCAGTGGGGGGCATGCAGGAGGCGGCCAATCGATGTCCTCTCTCGTCGATGTTTTTATCTCTCTCTCAAATCAATAAAGAAAAAAGAAAAATTAAAAAAAAAAAAAAAAAAAAAAGAATGAGGAGGAGTTACCAAAAAGGAGTTAAAGAGACTGGTGAGTACTAAGGCATAAAAGATACCAAAGTATGTTCAGGAAAACACAAGTAGGTAGTCGGGTACAGATAAAGAACAAGGTAAATATGGGAAAGCATCTAGAAAAAGGCCTCTCAAATACTAGTATAAAGTTGCTAAAATGCTGAGAACTTTTGTAAAATGCAGATTCTTGAGCATTACTGTCTCCCCCTCACCCCCCCAGGAATATATGCTTAGATAGAAGGAGGGAGGCGGAGAGGGAGGGAGGGAGGCGGGGAGGGAGGGAGGCGGGGAGGGAGGGAGGGAGAGAGAGAGAGAAACATCTATAGCTGCCTTCCTCACACACCCTGGCCAGAGATTGAACCTGAAACCCAGGCAGTGCCCTGGCTGGGAGTCAACAGGCACACTGGGAACCAACAGGCAACCCTTTGGTGCAAAGGACAACGCTCAACTAGCTGAGCTACTCCAGCAGGGTGGGAGATTCTGATTTGTTCTGGTTGGGCTGTCACTGTCACTTTTAACAAGTACATCCAAGTTCCTAACGGAGGTCAGCACCACACCACACTCTGAGAAACAGTGGTTGGGAGATAAAAGATGGGGCAGGTGGAGGAGGTTCAGAAAAGATCAGGAAGAACCTTGAATCCATGCTAGAGACTTTGGATATTATGTTGATGATGAAAACCTTGAAGGGGTTTAAGCAAATGAGTGAAATGATTATATGTGAACTGTAGAAAGATCACTTTGTAGCAGAATGGAAAACAGACTGGAAGAAGCTGAACTTAGAGTTAAAGAGAGCCAGTGGGAAGTTACTACCATAATCTCGAGTTACCAAAAGGAAGGAAGGAGTGATGGACATGGAGGATGGATTTGGGAGATCTTTATAAAATAGAATTTGGCAGCACTTGGTGATCCACTGATTGGAAGAGGTGAGAGAGGAGGAACCAAGCCAGGTTCACACCTGGGTGACTAACTGGATAATGAGTTCAATTATTAGCTTTGGAGTGTAGGTTTGTGGAGCAAGGTAGTGTGTGAACTTTGGGACATACTAAGTTTGAGATATCTGTAGGGCATCCAAGTAGAAATGATCAGTGAAGGTCTGGATTTAGCAGTTTGAAGCTACGAGAAATTGTCTGGGTAGAAGATACAGATTTGGGACCCTTGGCTATGAAGGAGGTCAAGTTTGAGTGCAAGTGAAATCATCTGAGGGTAGAAAGGGAGAAGAATCTAAGGGTCCCTATGTCTGCTTAAAGGCCATCCATGATGTGGTAAATAATTAATATATTACAAAAATAGCGGAAATATACAGGCTCCCCTGTGTATTGTAACGAGCACTGACTAGTTCAAGGGTCCTGAGGCCTAGATTGCAGGCCGAGCTTTGTCATTTACTGGCCGTGAGAGCCTGGGTAAGTCATTTAGCCTCTGCCTCTCTGTCTTCATTAGTAAAATGAGGACACACCACCTGTTCTGATGAACTCATTAGGCTGTAAGGCTCACACCCGATAGGGCTGTGGATGCACTTTCCTCATTAGTAAAATGAGGATACACCACCTGTTTTGATGAACTCATTAGGCCACAAGGACCACACCTGATACGACTGTGAATGCACTCTGCAAATTTTTCTATAAGCATCTAAGTTGTCATCCCAACATGCAATATAGTCCCTAACAATGTATGTACTCCTTCCACGTCCCCAACAGAATTCTTCCGCAATCTCAGTAAAAGTCTACATCTTGTATGTTCTGATGAACATCTCTTGCCTGAAGAGCAGGGTTTTGTCGCCCAGCCCCCGAAGAACGGCCCACATCTAGCTTAGGCGACCTCCTCAGCTGTCAGGCGGGGGTTCCCTCGCTCGGCCCCGGCCCCCCAGGCAGGTCCTGTCCACGCCCCTCTCGCAAACAGAACCTGGCGAAGCACCTGGGATGAATGGACCAATCCATCGATCAGAAACTCTTCGCCGCATTTCGCAAATGGCTAAGCCGAGGCCCAAAGGAATCAAGTGGGTAAGGGTCACACAAGTTCGCGACAGCTCTGGGACCAGAACCCAGGCCAGCGGACTCCCTCCGTGACCCCGGGGACCCCGCCATCCGCGCGGAGCCCTCCCCAGACACGGGCGCCGGGCCCTCGCGGCGCCGCCCGCACCCGCGGCCCCGACGCCGGGTCCCCACGGCCCAGCGCGACTCCCGCGCCCCCCGCGCCCCGGGCCCGCCGCTCACGCCTCGTCCCAGCCGCCCGCGCCCGCGCCGGCCCCGCCGTGCTCACCGCCGCCCGTCCGCTCAGCGCCCCGCCTTCCTGTGTGCTCCCCCAACACCCCTCCGCCCGGCTGCGGGAAACCGCCGCCCCGCCCTCGGGTTCCGCCCGGGCCCCTGACGCCGGGAGGGCGCGGTGTGCAGGGGCCCACCCGCC